AAGTATGCTTCTGTGTTGTAATTGTGATCAGTCAGTATCTTACCTGCGGTAGACAGCAGTCAGAGCAATCTCAGTTTGGAGAATCAGAGAGACGTTTTCTTAAGAGTCAAGCTGGTGACAAACACCTGGGCCCAATTCCTGAAGAGATTTCCTTCATCAAAACGTCAGAGTCTGAGTTTCTTTATTTGTCGTTCGTACCACATGTGGTACGTGTGGTGGAATGAAATTGTGTACTAAGGGTCCCAGTTAAATCCAACAATAAAATGTAAAAGAAAAACAGTAATAAGATCTAAGATATGAACTAAGAAAAACAAAACTAAAACTAGCACTAATAGCATAAAAACAATACGCCGAACAGCAGCACGAACATGAGTCTGTGTGAGCAGGTGAGCACGCATGAACACATCAACATGAAACAGATCAACAGCAACACGAAACAGATCAGCAGCAACATGATGTGATTTTTTTTTTTTACAGTGATTATCCTGATTAGAGATTCATGAGTCTAACAGCCTCAGGGTAGAAGCTGTTCCTCAGTCTAGTAGTTCTACACTTAACGCTCCTCAACCTCCTTCCTGAGGGGAGCGGGCCAAAAAGTGTGTATGCTGGGTGGGTGGGATCCTTCATGATGCAGTTGACAATACATCATGAAATGCTTCAAAAATGACTCTAACCTAAAAAAAATATATAATACTTAAAGTGAATGCATTGCTTTGTACTTTTACATCACATCTTTTTTTTTTTTTTTTTTATCAAACCATTCCATGTTGGAACATGGTCAATGGACTGTTGAAACATGGATTTGCAAAAAAGTTATGCTAAATGTGCTCCGTTTGCAGAGCTATTTGATGGAAAATCGTCAGGGTGAATCTGACATTAAATTTAGGAGAACCAAGAAACAAAACAGGTAGAAACGAAAAAAGACTAATAGGTTTCTTTCAGCTGCTCCCTTCTGCAGGGGTTGCCACAGCGAGCCAACTCGCATGAAAGATTTGGCAATTTGTTTTAAAACCTGCATCCTCGTGATTACAAGATGGCAGCACTGACCAACGAGCCACATGGAAAACTAGATCTGGCGAGACCTGTTTTACTTAATTTAATTCTAAAACTGTTGCAGATTTCAGTTTTTATGGTTCGTTTGAGGCCGGGACCAAAGTACATGGAGTAGGTCATAAACTTCAATTTTCGCTTATACCATTGTACAAATGTAAAAATGATATTAATCATAATAAAGTATTGATTAAATATGGGTTCATGATTTATACGATTGTGCTTAACTTTGATTTACTAGTGCCATCTGCTCAATAAATCAATATGCCACCATTACAGAAATCTCAAGTAGATTATTTTACTCTGATTTTACTGTTTAACTCATCAGATTGAAGCTAAAAATCAATTTGGTCTCAGGCAGAAGTACAAAGCAAGTCTCACAAGGTTATGAGGACAAAGTGGTATATCAGCAATAGATCTCTTTAAGCTTAAAAATACTTTTGATGTCAGCACAGTGAGAGTTTGGACCTTCACCTTTCACCCTCCTAAAGGACAAATGGTGACATCCTCAATGAAAAATGGTGTCTGAGTTTTTAAACCAGGTAAGCTTCTGTACACGAAACAAGCCCCAGACCCTGACTGGTCTTACAGCAAAACAACTCTGTCAGCTCCGTTCTTTCCTGTTTCCTGCTGTGATTTTGATCAATCTGATCGAAGGCTTCATTGATTCTGAATCTGAAAACAACAGCAGCTAAACTGCACCCATCTGAGTCATTGCAAACTGATGCTTACTGTCAAACCTAATGCACTTAAATGATTTCAAACCTGTTTTATAATATATTATTCAATTCACGTAACTAAATTTAATCTGATTTTTTTCTGTGAGGAGATTATCATCCAGTTTCTTTTTTTTTTTTAGGATGCGTACCTTTATTTCTCCTCTACGCCAGTCACAGAAGTTGTGTTTTTTTTTAATAAAGTCCTAAATATTTTACGGTTTTTAAATAGTTTTCACTTTTTTTTTTTACCCATTATTTACTGTGTGGGACATCTCCTGCCTCCCGTACGTAAATGTAAATTTAGTTGGAGGTGAAA